TTATTTTATTTTAATTTTAAAGGTTATATCAATTTAAAGTTTACTATGAAATTGAAAATTTGGCATTTAATATATAAAAAAAAGAAACTCATATATAATTTTTGACCAATCACAATTGATTACATTATACTAGCCAATCAGAATTGAGTATTTATTTCAAAATTTGGCGCAGAGGGTGTTGGTTTATGCTGTCCCGCACTGTACAATATTAAATACAAAAGTTTTGTCAAAATAAGTGTGGCGGCTTATGCTGAGATCTGGGGTCCCTAGTTAAATCTATAATATATACTAAAATCCACATATACTCCTTTATTAATACCCTAAACACTAACCTAACTGTGAAAAAAAGACTACAAACAAAGCCCCAAAAATTTTATAATTTCATAATAAAACAGATCAAATTCTCAGCATAAGCCAATCTCAGCATAAGCTGCCACAATAAGTATTTAATATTTTATTATTATAATTTAATCATACAAATATATTTGCAATTATTATCATAATAATCTTAGCAATATATTTGCAATAAGCTAGTACAAATAAAGATCTAAAACTACCAATATTTAACTAACATATTTGTAGTTAATAGTGCTGATAATCAAATAATTTGTAATAAATTATCTTCTATACTACGTAATGTGCTTTTATTGCTTATATTTGGCTAATTTTTGCGAATCTTAAAAATTTCAAAGTTCCGTAAAGTATCAATTGTTGCAGTTATCTTGTTTAGTTTCTTATAATTTTAGAAAAGCATTCTCAAGATGCGTCTCTGTAACCCAAAATAATTTTTGTAAACGCATGAGCTGAAGTTTTAATCAAATATCAGATACTCTAAGTGAGAATAATTTATGAAACATTTAGAATCTCAAAATGAAGAAAATTATATATTACAATCCTCATTTATGGTGTTGGATATTTTATTTCTTAGCGGCTTCAGGGTTAAAAACAGTAGCAAACCGATTTTCCTTAATCGCATTCTTACATTCAGGTTGCTCAAGAATAAAATGTTCGAGCTTTTTGGCAATAAATTCAGGGATACATTGCTGGCATTGTCCTACTTTGTTTACATACAAACTGACAAATTCTGGCAATTTATTATCAGTTGCATGCTTTTTATTTTTTTCCATGAATGGAACCGGTATTTTATAACCTTGATTTTTTTTCTTTCGATCTACTTCCCTGAAATGATCTAATATGTTTGAACCTGGATGTTCGATAAAAGACAGTACATTGAATTCAATATTAGTGTTAGGAAAATTAGAAAATTTCTTTTCGTATAAATCATATCCATAAAGACATGTATAGGTTTTTTCTGCAGCTTCACAAAAACTAAAATGATAACCAATAACCAAACGTTCACGACCAAGTCTCACTTCAGACACTACGGGTATGCCGCATGCTACTAGAGGATTGTCTTCAGTCATTTTGAATGCATGTTTGTTATTAGACGGAGCAGGTTTCTTCTTAGTACTTTGAATACTTTGAAGGTGAAAATCAGGATTCAGAAGATCAGACTTAATGTTTGGGTCATACCCAACAACTATCCAGCCTATTTTAATATGACATTTTCTTGGTTGCCCATTATTGGAAATGCAATTAATGATAAGTTTTGGAACATTAGAATCTTTTGGAGTATATAATGTGTAAGTGAATATATCATTATTTTCATCCATATTAAGAATTGTAGCAAAAACTTGCGAATCAATTTCAGAGTCTGAGAAAATTGTTTGAACATTGTCGGGCATTTCTAAATTGACTATGTGATTGTTCAAATTATTAATTTTATAACTATAATCTTGAACTTTAGAGTAAATAATCCTTTTTCCAATAATTTTTTTTATTTTCTTTTTTAAATCATCATCTAAAAACTCAAAGATGCTTACGGGTTCTTGAAATTCGATTGGTTCCCAATATCTAAAATCTTGTAAAGAAGATACCCATTCAGCTTCTTTGCCTTCATATATTTTTATCTTATCTCCTCCGAAAATAAACGAGCCTTTGTGTTGCATGGTACTTTCATTTTTGTTGCTTATGCCAGATTTATGCTGAAACTCCAGGCCTTGTCCATAAATACTGAGGTTCACCGAGCTTTCTATATTATTGTTTGCCGAATTTTTGGTCGTATTGGTCGTATCTTCATAATAAAGTCTTCCTCCAAATTGGATTGTAGTAGGAATAAATTGGCCAAATTCTGCAATAATTTTATTAATACTATTAATTTTTTGTTTTTGGTCTCGTGAATCGATTGCCTTTTGCACTTCGTTTTGGAATTCTTGCGTAAGCACGACATTTTGCTTTTGAAAAGAAATTTTCGCCTTGCCAAAATTTTTAGCATAAAATTTTAATGCTGTTTCGGAATGGCCCTGAGAATTCTTTGCTGACTCTATTGAAAGACCTAACTTTGTAGTAGACGGGATTTCTATTTGTGCTTTTAGAAATAAACTTTTATTTTGAATCAATTCATCGGTGGATGAGATCGTTACATCATCGTAATAATATTCATCTGTAGTAAACACATCAAATTCGCAATCCTCAATAATGACAGCTTTTTTCTTCACTACTTTATCTTTGTTTTCTTCGTAGTTACGTCCATATTCAAGCTTAAATTTCTTTACCAAATCATGCCAACTTGGTTTTTTTTTAAGATAAACTTTATTCTCAACCAAAATTTCTTCCAATTTAAATTTTTTTTCATCATTAATGCTAATTATTACACCATTCTTTGTAAAATTAACATTGTTTGTCATTTCTTTCTCTTCATATTTCACAAGCTTTTCTCTTATCTTGTATAATTTGTTTTTGGTATTCAATTTTAGAGCTAAAACCTCGTTTTCATCGATTACAACGGTAATTTCAGTAAGGGACTCAGCATCCTCCTTAGAAGGTGGACGAGGTTTTATATGTTGTTCATTTCCTTGCATTATTTGTTTAAGCAATTGACAAAGTCAAAAGTCCCGATAATTTTACCTTATAAAATGTTTGTAGGTTACACGGAACATTATGATTGTAACGCAAATTTTATTTAGATACAGCAACCAATATCGATACGCATTTAGAATTGATACAAAGCATATTATAGTATCCTCCATAAATGCATTTTTTAAATGAATTTTCGTTATTAATATTGGGCAATTTTCGTTTTGTCTCGGACTGCCGATTCGTCAAAATATAAATATACTTTTAGCCAAGTTAACTATAAGTCAAGCCAGCCCTAATCTAGTTCGAAGCTAATTTTGTTTGCGAAATGGCGTCTGCAAAGTAGTTGTCGGTTTATACCATTTTTAATGCGGATGCTAACTTAAGTAATAATAATCTAAAGCAATTATACAAATTTACATTATTCTGTCACGAATAGGGTTGGGGACATGGTGTCCCAGGGCATGCCCTTTTTTCAAAAAATTTACATATAAAAAAATCGTTATACAAAAAATTTTGGGGGCATGCCTATAGGGCATGCCCTTAAAACAGAGGCATGCCCAGGGGGCATGCCCAAAAAATTTTCCGTGCCCCCAACCCTAGTCACGAAATATTAATGTTTAGAAAATATAGCGCATTTGTTTATGGGTATCAATTTATAGATGCAAATCCTGCGAGTACTTTTTGTGGTAGATTGATATGGAATATCATCACAGCGAATTTATGAAGTTTAAGCTAAAATTCGGACACCAAATCCGAGTATTTTGTCCCAAATTTTAAACTTTTGGTTACCAAATTACATATTAACAAATCAATGTTAAACCCCGAAAAGTTTTTTTGGACCCTAACCCATCTTTCCCACGTGCTAGCCCATCTTCCCCACTATCCAATCTTGAACAACTATAATTATACTGTATTTATAACAATTTGAATATGCAAATTATGATATACTCAAAATTTTCTCAAACATTGTTCTCGCGATTATCTAGTAAAAGTGACGATGCTCATTTATTATAATCAATCAAAATAAAAATTACAATTGATACTTGTGCGATTCATTGTTTATTAAATATCGTTGCCACTAGGTTTGGGTCTTCGTTGATATTTGATTGTTGTACGAAATAAAAAAAATATCAAAATAGTAAATTTTGTAGCTGGGTAAACATCCATATTTGTTTTTTGGGTTTCCGGTATTTTTTTTATTGTTCATAAAAACTTTTAGTAGGGGTTTCATAATTAACTTATTTTGAAAATAAAGCGATACCAACTTGATTTGGTGGTTTACATAACATCCCTTCTTCAAAAGAGGGGGAATGAAACGCATACATAATAAATTTTATTAAAATTTTTTTTCAATCAGAAATTAGCGGCCTGACCTTTCTCGTCTTTTATGTTTGTTCATTTTCTCTTCGGAATTTTTCTGATCCTTAATATATATCCCAAAAATTTTTTTTACAAAGAGAGGGGGATAATGTAAAGCACCAAATCATCTGGTCTTAAAAGATCCTACTTTTATTTTTAAAATTTGGACTCAGTGAATTAAATAGGCGAACACGTTAATAAACTTAGTTTTGATAAATATCTACCGGTAAACGTCATTTTGAATACTGTAAGTTTTGGAAAGCACTTTTTGACCATTGATTAAGGCCTTTGAAAACGTCCATAATATTAAAATATAAACAAAACTACGTGATTAAAAAAAAATTTTTTGAACCCGTGATAACAATGTTCGTGATTAAATTTTTATTTATTTTATATAATCGTAGATAAAAGTGTATATAACATCTTTAATTAAAATCCCTAGCAAGAACCATTGCAAAAACCATTTTAACAAAGCCGTATTTGATTTTTGTAAAAACCTATAATGAGTTTTGAAATTTTAGTATATTTATTAATCAATGCACAAACATACATATTATTGAATAATTGAATCAAAAAAACACATATTTAAATGAAAATATGACGAAATCGGACAGAACTCATCATTTCAAATCAAAGATTTCAGCAATAAGAAAAATATATGAAGGTTCCAATTTCGATAATTTTTTAATCTACTCCAAAATAATTTTTGTAGATTTGCTAGTAACTATACTCTCTTTGTTGTAAAATTCAGTATATTGAAAAGTGATACTTTTTCCATGTGACATAAAAGATGCCCTATAACGCTTATTAATATAATCCAATGCATCTGAATTATTCTGTTTAATTGCTTTTATGAACCAATCGAAAGCTTCTTTTAAATCCTCTTTTCGACCAAGTCCTTTTTCACAGAATTTACCTGTTATAAATTGTGCATGTGCATGTCCAGATTCTGCAGCGTTTTTATATATCAAATATGCATTAACAAGATCTTTGTCAACACCAAGCCCGCATTCTAGCATCCTTCCGTATCTAATTTTTCTTTCCAAATCTGGAGAGTCTTGAGAAAAATATTCAACCAATGGAATTAATTCTTCACGTGTCAATAGTATATTTTTTCTAAAACATTTCATACACCATTTGAACGCTTCATTCATATCTTTTTCAATGTCATTTCCATTAAGCAGACAGATGGCAATATTTTTCATGGCTTCGAGATCACCATCAATAGCTTTTTTATAAGATTCGACAAGCGCATTTGCTGTATCATTGATTAACATAAAAAATAATGTTATAATGGCATTTATGTGACTGTTAAATATTAATATTGAAAACTTACATTCCATGCTACCACTTTTCTTTTTTGAGTAAATGTCGTTATTTTCAATATTTTCTATAATATCTGCAATATAAATTGCTGACTAAATAGTTTTTATGAGATATATACATAGAATAGAATATTTAAAACTGGTCATACCTGGATCCAGTATTATGTCATTTTGCAATTTTTCAACTGTCTTTTCATCCTCTTTGCTCATATAAGATATAAGTCTTTTTTTGTCATTAAATTGGCGCATTTTATTTAATTTCCAATCGATGATTTCATTTGCCAATGTCTGCGCATTTGGACGATTTGAAGGTTCCTTATCACAACATGAATGTATCATATTCTGATAAAATGATGGAATCGACTCATCGAAAGAAGGCTTATCATTATTATTAGAACCATAAATATGCTTTCCTGTTGCAATCTTGACTAATAATATTCCAAACGCATAGATATCTGATGCATAAGAATACTTTCCTTCCATCACTACTTCAGGTGCAATATATGGTAATACGCCGATCAATTTACTGTTATCTTCAGTTAACATATTAGTCTCCCGGCTTAATCCAAAATCACCAATACATGAACAAGACGAATCTAGAAAAATATTGCCAGGATGAATATCTCTATGAATTATACCTCTATCATGTATTTGATATAAACCGGCTGCAATATCCAAAATAATTGATAATCTCTCTTTCCATGTAATCGAAGTAAAATTGCTCGCAAGATATTCACCAAGATCAGACTTATCTGCATAATGTAAAACTATTTTTAAGTCATCATGTTTATGACCATATGCTATACCATAAAAATCTATTACTCCCCATAAACCGTTTATTTTTGTGTGATTTTTCATCTAACAGATCAAATTGGTAAGCGTTAAAGAAAATAAATAAATAAAAATGTTAAAAATTTTTTTTTAAGAAAACAATCTCACCTCTCTTAAAAAGCTTTTCAAACTATCGTCTTCATGTATGTTTATACATTCATTCAAAGCTACCTTAGTTAATTTTCTCTGCCAATGGAAGTGGTGTTTATTTGATGTTTGTGTCATTGTTGATTGATTTATCCATGTAGCGGAGAATACTGAACCAAATCCTCCTTTTCCAATCAATTTAACATCTTTTAAGGAATTAGAAGGGATCCATTGGAGTGGTAAAGAAGGTCCAATATTATTTTGACTTTCCTCTATTAATTCATCCAATTCTTGAATGGTTTCATTTTTTGAGGTCTTTTCAATAACTATACTTTTATCAATGCTTCCTTTTAAATTATTTGTAACTCTTCTCTTTGAAAAGGTATTTATACCTATCCAAGGATCGTTTAACAAAGATTTAAATGATCCTCTCAAATGAGATTTTTTTGCAAGCAGGCGGTGCAAAATATTTGAACATTCTTTGCTGATCTCTTTTTCTATCACTAATGTTCTAGTCATC